AGACTTTCGCCCATTCATGAGAAACTCCAGGTCAACGGCCGTTTTGTAAAATTTCTTTTTTTCTGCTCGTTTGACAACTTTTCGCATAAAAAAATAATAATAATAATAATTTATTAATACCCTTACAACCCATACAAACTTACAAGGAATTGGTGTAACCTGTTCCCTATTAAGTTTTTACTACAGTATCATGACTCATCAGTTATATAATTTGCATTTTAACTTTCGTATATTAAGGTATATTTAAGATATGTTCCGCAGTCATTATCTTACACGACACATATCTGAAAGAGCCAAATACAATCTGATTCAATTTACTATGTTAATATGATTAGTGGATTAGGCGTGGATTTATCAATTACGCTTGTGAGTTTGCTAAACGTCTGTTTATAATTAATATTTACTTCTAATAAAAAAAAAACACGTCTTTTTTTACTCACATAACTTGGCCTAATTAAGAAAATTTGTGGTCGCCTAGTGGTTGAAATTCGACCATAATTAATTATACATGGTAGTATTTTTTTACTGACTTAATGTATTTTGTGCATAATTTTAAAAAAATATTAGCATTCTGCACAACTTCTTTATATGTATAAACTGTAACTGTGGGAAATTTCATACATCTCCGTCCGCGCAATTTTTGTAAAAAGGGGTACAAAGTTTTTACTTCGCGTATTGATATGTAGATATATATATTTTATCGTAGTAAATACAAAACTTTGTCACATGCTAAAGATACACTGGATATGTTTTCCGAAATACGCCAAAAAGTTGTATAACTTCAAAAATAATAAAACTATTAAAGACTTTCTTATGAGATCAACTAACATGAAACACGTAGTATATTACTTAACATGAGTTTTTGAGAATTTGGCAGAATATCAAGACGAAACAACGTCGTAATTCGAATAATGTAGGTTGGACTCCGTAGGCTCATTACCGATACCAAAGCATTTTATCTTAAACCTAAGACGTTTGATGTCTTTTGATGAGCTGCAAGAAATGAAATAAATATGTATTATTGCCTTATACTATCAGCATTCACTATCGCGTGGACTCTGTTCCCGTAATATATTAAACTATATTACTGTAATAATTAAATCTTAACTCCTCCCAGTCCCTACCAAAATCGGACGACTAGACGCTCAGCAGGTTTTGTTGTCGACATTGTTCTAATTCGGAGTAAGATTTTCCCGTCATCGCTCGAAATGTGTACAGCAGAGGAGTTGAACAATTTGCTCGCGTCTTTCTTTCGGTCTGACTACAAAGCGAGTGGCTTCAAAGCAATAGGATTTACTGAGGTCGTGTGTGCGTAAATATCGACAACATCAAAGGATGTACTCAAGCACTCGCTAGTCAGTGATAAAAGTAAGTTGAGAGATAAAAGAATCTGTGTATAAACTTCTCTTATTCATACTTATAATAAATATTAAGGTGTTTGAAAAAAGTGTCTTAATGCCCCTCAACAGCAAAAATTTTGCGCTATGTTTGAAGGAGTTTAATTCTACAAGCATTATTCATATTATTTACGAAAATAAAATAAAATATAACTTGAAATTCTTACTATAAAATAATGAATGAATTCTCAAGAAGCCTGCATTGATGTGTAAATTGGGAAGCTATGAGCAATTTATAGAATAATATACTTGAATATCGTCTTTTACACAAATTGGCCAAGGTATTTTCAGCGGTCTGAACATACTCCGCTTCGCTAATTACACAAAATGTTCGTTTTCGAGATTAATGTAAGCATAGGCCAATAGAAATCTTTGATCCAATATCAATTACGGTATCCTATCCTAAATACAATTAAAATATTTCATACGCATATGCATATGTCCCAAAAGAGTCATATACTGCATCAACCTGGGGTTGTTGGAGGTTCGAATTGCTTAGTCTCCCTTTTTATCATGAAGGGAATTATTGACCGACATTAAAACTCTACTTGAGGGGCTTCTAATTTCCTATAGAATGCATTTACATGTAATGATTATATAAGTAGCTGCCTTCGTTATACATGACCAGAGTCATCTCGTTGCCATAATAAAATCATAACATTTTTAACATAATTAACCTTAATCTTCATTAGTGTTTGACACTTTATAGCGTTTAAAATGTAATTTACACATGAGGTTTCCATTCAAAGGCTCGCAAGTTTAGTCGAACATAAATTCACACGTCATGAGGGTCATTTTATTACTAAATGACGCGGTTTGTAGAACAATGAAGGGAGTCAGCGATGCTATAAACAATTCGGAGTTCCCTGGAGTAATGGAAACCTTTGTACATCGATCGTAGTTCCGGGGCAGGCCTCGGGGGCAACGTTAAGTTTACTACAAGCACAAAACAGACTCGACAAGGCCGCTAGTATCTTATTGTTGCCCTTACATTAAATTATTTATTCATTAATCGAGATAATCTCAGTGAAATTTGGATAAAGGGCCAATATCTCCTATATACCCACACACTATAACTTCAAGACGTCTATTGTTCTTGTTGAAGAAGTCAATTTAGTCAGTGGGAAAGTTTCTTACAATGTAATTAATTATTGAGTGTTCGCTTTTTAACCTGTTTGTGTTCTATAATGACCAATACTTTAAGAAATCATCACAGAATCCAATCTGTGATTGCGTCATCACATAATAGATTCGTAACAGCACCACTGATCTTTAAAGTTCTCCACTCAGAAAATGCCTACCAAGAAACAAGTCGGTGGGTTTTAAATTACTGGTATTGGTTTCACACAAACCATTTTATATTATTGTAAAATGAACCAATATTCAAACAGATGTTTTATCTACGGAATTCTATAAGTCAGAGGAAACCTGGAAAGTAGAGGACGAACAAGCGTTCACAGTAGTTATGTTTTCAAGTCCCCTTAGTGATTAGTAACCACCACCGAACTCCAACACTAGACGTTGACTGTTGTTAGACTGATCAATCCAGTGACACGAACAACATGTGGATATGCTACCTTGACTATATGCTTGAACTTGATATGTTTAAATTTAATAACAGATAATATCCGTATTTTTTTGCGAGCGTTTTAAGTAAAGCTCTAACAATGAAATCGATGGTAGGCGCGTACAGGGAATCATCCCGAGACATTATTTTCCCATGAAAACGCAGACTTTTATAACACATATAACAACAAAGGAGGTTCGCGTACAACCTCATATATCCCTACAGTAATGGATTAAACGAAATGTAACTCATTGTTGTCTGACTCGATATACTCATGCGACTTTATTTTTTCGTGCATTAAGTCTGATTAATAAGAAATTGGATATACGTAATGTATACCATTTCTTACGAACTTGTAGCAGCTAATACTGTTAATCGTATAATAGCTATTGCAGACGGTTGAAAAGGTCCTTGTCTGCAAACGATTCTCGGCCCATTCTCATTATAGTATATTGTAAAGGTGTTATACACCCTATTTAGGTCTTATTTAGAAATATTCAAAACACATTACAAATTTGAATAGAGTTATTTAATTAATTGAAGGTTATTCGTTACAATATCACTTTGTGAGTTACAAGTTCAGGAAACTAGTTTAATAAATTCAACTGCTATAACTCGCAGAGTAAGAAAAATAATTCGCAAAATTCAAAAGCTTTATCAAAAAAGCTTATTCAATTTAAAATTTTAAAACTCGGGAGACTTTATTGTAAAAAGTTTAAAATTTTATGTTTGCTCGAAATCGTATGGTTATTTTATGTTAATCTATACCATCTTTGATTTCCATTAAAAGAAATACAGTTTTACAAAACTAATATATGACATAACTAAATAGTATAAAACAAAGTCGACTCGCTGTCTGTCTGTCCTTATGTATGCTTAGATCTTTAAAACTACGCAACGGACCTTGATGCCGTTTTTTTACTAGATAGAGTGATTCAAGAGGTTTATATGTATAATACATTGCACCCGTACGAAGTCGGGACGGGTCGCTAGTGATCCTATAATAAATGGTTTCCAAACGCAGTATCTTCGTATTGAAACTTGTTGGTTTAGTCGTCGTAGCTAATGCTATTCAATCTTTATTGGGCCTATTCGAGCCTCAAATATATCTGCCCCGACAAAAATATGTACAACACAGACTTTTGCCGATCATTAATTCGATAAACTGAAACTTAAGATGCGTAACCTATGATCTCAAGTATGACAAAACTGTCGTAACCATACAGAAACTGACACTCGGATGTTTCAGATTTTTCTACGATAAACGGTAACTTATACACACGAATTGAATCGCTAAACTATGTTCCATACTCAAAGAATAAGTTAGTACGTTTTATTAATAATCAATGAAATAAATTATGTAATGAGGATCCCTGTCGCTAAAAGTGACACACTAAATTATTTTCATAGCTTTTTTTGTTAAAATTAGCCTCTAAAAAATCATTACTTTGTGTGGCATCTTATGGGAATAACAAAACATTAGACTTATTTAATAATTCCACTGAACGTAAAATCTACGTGACTTTATTTCAACCTTTGTACTAATGAAAATAATTAACGAAACTAATTCAACTACCCAATGGGCTTAGTGCGTTGATTGTTTATTACGGCTTCAATTCAAATAATCCCAAATAACTAAATAAGAATAATTAACACATACTAGTCACCGTAATTCAGATTACTATGTCATTTGGAAAAATGATATTTCATGTGTCTTTAATAAAGGTTTATTTGTACGTACTTTAATATAAGATGATAATGCTCTCCAAAACATCTTAAATATATTCGTCGGTCTCCATGATAATAACTTACCTCGTAGCATGATGTAGACGCGGTGCCGCCGTCTCCGCCCGATTTATTCAACAAACACTATTCTATTGTCACAAATCATTTTAATTTATAACGCACTGTTAATCCTTATCTCGTCCCCGTGTCGCCAATCTAATGGGGAACGAGTGACGGTCGACCTCTGTGTTTGCCGACGGTGAACCTTTCACGTGCACAACACGTAGCAGCGCGCGTGTGTCGCGTAGCACATGTACAGCTATGTACTAGCCGAGTCCGGCGTTTGTCGAGTCAGTTCGTCGGATCTGCTGGGCAGACGTGCGCCCCGTGCCCGTCGCCAGACTGGACTGTGGGGCTTCGTGGCGCTGGGGCGGCGCACCCGCGCTCGATACTGCCGCCCCCTACCGCCCTCCCACATTGCAAAACCATTGAAAAAGTCCACCGCTTATCGCCAAAATACTGTTTACGGATAACAATCAATTTAGAAGTTCGGTAAAACCGTGTAAGCGTGATTATAATGATGTTAGCATTAGACAGTATTATGGAGAAGTAACGCTTTTATGTGCGTGGGTCCGAGATATAAATAGATAGAAAAAAAAAATACGTAACAAATTTCCGTCGGGCACCATTGAAAGGCTTCGTGTACGTGCGCAATTCTAATTATGGCTCAATGGACCGTTTAGAAATTTTCTCCGTTTTGTCTACACAACAATAAATCGTGAATAATTCAGACCAGGATAGAGCTTTCGCATAACTATACATAATGTAACCTCTAACTTTCTAAAATAGTGAATTGAACGTTTGAACCTCAGTGAAAAGAAGTAAAAATCAGTAGCATTTCTCATTTGATTTTTTTACGCTTTTCATTTATGCTGTAATCTATGATTTAAATTATTCCATATTTGGCTCATAGGCTCCATAATTTCTTGTTTATTAAGATGTGATTATTTCATAATGCTTATAGTTATTAAGCCTTCATCACAATTTGTGAGCAAATAAAAATAATTATTTTATGAAGATGAATTTTGTTAAAGTTTTGAACCAGATATTTGCAAACTGTACGACAGTTAAAATATATATGTGATTTCAGTACGTATTTAAAATTGTTTATCTTTTATTGTTGTTTACATGAAGTTACAATTTTTCGTTAATTTACATTGAATATTTTCAATTCGTCATCATCACTCAACATCACAACAATGTGACAAGGCATAAAATCGTGTGTCACGTGTGACGTTCAATAAATAATATAATAACGTATTATTTTATAAATAGAACGATAAGTATCACTCAATGGTGAATGCCTTTGTGATGGCGGGACCATATCATAGAAGAGCGCATGCTCTGGGCCTATTTCTCGCTAATTGACGATTAATTATCGCTTACGTCAGCTACATGAGAGAGAAATTCTAATATGGTACAATTACCTTGCATTGATTTAGAGAGATCATTAGACAAATAGGCTTTAGGTAAATATCGTTGCTGACAAATAATTAAAATTAATGTCGTTTATTATTTTAACTTTTTCTGTGTAAAAGTTTATATTAGAAATTTAAAGTTTTTTATAGTGATAATCTATGCTTGGCGCATCTATTGTTATATCCTTTCCAGCATACAAACAATTTCGAATATCGTTTTACAACGATAACTTCGAACGAGAGATGTCGCCATTGCTTTTTAGAAATTTAAAAGTTTTTTATAGTGCTAATCTCTGCACATAAGATTAAACATTAACGGCTGATTGCCACATCCTCATTTAGGAGCTAAAGCGTCAGGCCGCGAATGCCGAAGACGAGGGCTCGATTCCCACAGTGGCGACAATCTTTTCATACTTTTTCTACAAGTTTTAAAGTTTATATTCAATTTATAAGTATTAAATTTAGGGGTGAGTATAATTTAAAAAAGTAAAGTTAATAAAAAATGGTTTAATTAAATAAATAAAATTAATTAAGTAGTTAATAATTAATTAAGTTAATAAAATAAAGTAAAATTTAAAAAAGTATTAAAGGTAAATCTGAAAAAGGCTCATACAATGCGGAACCATAATGTATTAAGATACGAGATGTGTGGATATTATTCTTGATTTGCACTTGGATGTCACCTGACCACTTCTTATTTCACTTTAGTAGTGTATAAATATTTATATATTAACCAAAATATAGCACTTTAATACGGAATAAGTAAACATAACATAACATTAATCATTTTGTGAACGACGAACATGAGCATTATTAACTCTTAGAATCCTATCGTTAAAACGAAACTTGATACTAAAACGCACTTAGATACCTACATGGGAATAACACAAATCTGTTTAGGGTACATATATCAACACGGCAACCGCAGTACATGCACGATTTCCATGCAAAATATGTCTATTTATAAAGTTAAAGCTTTCGTGTTTCCCTACTATTCCACCCATCCATGGCGTGAAATAAAACACCCTTTAAATAAGGCTTATCTCCCTTTTTTTATGACGAAAACATTTTAATAAATTTACGGACTGTTAAATCCTTAAATTTGACAATCATTTTCGTATTGTATGGAACTCTATAAGCTTTTTGAGAGAGACTTTTTTATACAAGTATAATTTAGGTTCCTGCCTAATCACCTATAGGATTATAAAACAATAAGATCTAAAATTCCACCTACTACAGTTGTGGTTTGCCATTCAACGAGTTATTTTTAAGTATGAGTGATTATAAATATTATAAAATGTTAGAATAATTAGGAACGACAAGTAGTTAGGACGTTGCGGACGAACCTAAACCGGACGAATCTTTTCCTGTGTCCTCTAGTCTTTGTGTTCTTCTGCTGTTGCATAAAGAGACGGCTTCACTATGAACGATGTAATACAACAGTATAAGTAAATAATTTACACGTTTGCTTTTCTGTTGTTGACTAAGAATAAGGTTAATGTTGCTCATAGTTTTGTTATAAAATATGTGTCATACTTAAATAATTAAAAACTCCATAGATTAGTTTTATTAAAACATATATCGAAAATGAACCAGCAATGGTACATAAGACACTGAATACTGGAAAATTAATATGGCAATGTCAGTAATAGTATGTAAGGTAATAAAGAACGTGGCAATACATTAAAGACATTAAAGACATTTATTCCACTCATTACACTTATTACACTCATTTTATTATCCAGTATCGCCAGTACTTTCACTTGACCTAACACACTCAGCAATTTTTAAATCGCATTAGTAAGGGAAACATACTTATAACCTACTGTAGTGTGAATGGAATAACGTCGCAAAAAAAAAAAGAGTTATAAGCTTCATCGTTTTCAAATGCAAACCGAAATCTGTCTTCTTTAAGTTTTCGTAATTTCCATTACAGTGTGTAATTCGTTACAGTGAAGTCAATGACATTATTTATATATTTTTAATTTGAATTTCGATATCAATAAAGTTGTTTAAAACATTGAAAAAATGTATTGTATTATTATTTTTTAAGGAACAACTAAATTACTATAATAATTGACGAACAGAAAATATATGTTCAAGCTTTGATCATATACTTGTCTAGATAGATAGAGCAATGCTTAACAAACGACGCGCTAAAACTGTCTCCGATTGCGTGATGTATGAAACAAACTGTGAAAGTGTGCGTGTTTGGGGATGCGCGCTCCAAATTATTAACTTAAGTTTTCACCGGCTAACCAGACTAACCTACGAAAAAAGGAATAAAAACATCGTGTTTTCTTAAATTAATAGAGTTTAAATAACAAAACTTACCAATTAAAAGTGATCTTGATATTAATTTGCGATTTTCCCATATAATTGCAACACGATTTTTTGATAGCACAAACTGGCATAATTAATGATTTTCCGTGAGCCCGTTTCTGTGATTCAAATGACACTGACTTAAGTGAAATGCGACTATACTAATTTTAGTAGACATTTTTGTGCGTTCGGTACGACTAATGGTTTATCTAGAGAAGTATATTTTCAAAGTGTTCAAATTAATATCGTGTTTCCTACATCCATTTATTCCACGCCTTCTTACGGCAATTAATGATTAGAGATCTTAATTATTTTCCTCAACTAATGATCCTATGGTATCTGAAGACGAGTGTTTGTTTTCTTTGCGTAACAATAGAGTAGCAGGACGGGCAAAAAGCCACGAACTCCGGGTCTGAAAGATATAAAGAGTTACACATGATTAATAGCTGTCAGGGAAAACGTTGTTCTGCCATATAAATTATTTGTAGGGTAGAAAAAACTGTTTAGGGTGGACCATCCTTAACATTTAGGAAGATGAAAAATAAACGCTGTCCGATTCTGCACCCTGGCCGATATGCACACAAAATTTCTCGAAAATCGGTCGAGCCGTTTCGGAGTAGTTCAATTACAAAAACCGTGACACGACAATTTTATATATAAGAAGAGAGATAGAGGGCTGAGAGCAAGGGTGGATATAAGCATATGTTATTAAAACATTGATGAATATAAATTACATTATGTTTATCTGATGAATTTAACATGGATCTCAAATAGTATAATCACGCCACTGCAAATAGTCTTTTACAATATAATTAAGTTCCCACTTTTCATTAAAAGCTTAACGTTAGTAAAAATAAACTTTAGACAAATCAATTCTTGTTTAAATTAAAACATACATACTCATACAATATAGTATACATACAAACATATTTTCCAGTTATAAGGAAAATCAAAAGTGAAACAGCCGAACCCCTAAATTAATTTTTTATTTATTTATAATTTAGGTACACAGAGAAAATGAAAGAAATGTTATTAAGTACATGAAAGGAGTTGCACAAAAGTCCTGCTTATGTCTTAAGAAATTTCTTAAAGCAGACCTGTAGCTGGTAATTGGTCAAAAATGGTAGTTAATTGTGTACATACATTAATTTATCTGAGTTCTTAACAGATTTTATATACAGTTTATTAGAAAAATATGTAAATGTAAACTGATTTTTACACTTTATTTGTATAGTACTCACTAAAAAGTAGAGTTGTCCGTAGCAACTAGCAAGTCAGTTATAAATTAGCCACCACATTTCGTTGGACAGCATTCAACTACATCGTTTTTAAGGTTCCGTACCCAAAGGGTAAAACGGGACCCTATTACTAAGACGCCGCCGTCTGTCTGTCGGTCTGTCTGTCTGTCTGTCGGTCTGTCTGTCGGTCTGTCTGTCTGTCTGTCTGTCTGTCTTTCGGTCTGTCTGTCTGTCTGTCTGTCACCAGGCGTAGGTGTATCTCATGAACCGTGATAGTTAGACAGTTGAAATTTTCACATTTTTTGTCCTTAAAATCTAATAAAAAATAAGTACACTGCTTTCTTAAAAATTCATAGTGAAGAGTAAACAAAGTCAGAAACAACATACTCAACAAAGACAATGCATCATAAGACTTTTACGGTATTGGGGTCGACTTATCCTTGACATTCGAAAGAAGAGAATTTTATAGCTTCCAACATGTAATAGTTTTATGTTGGGTCCCCGATAAGAAGGGAGCTTTGTCTAAAAGTCACATATATACATATTTTATGTCTTTAATATTTGTTAGAATGAGTAGTGTAATGTCCACGTATTTTACTTTATAGCCGGAAGTATATTATTTTTTATATTGTTAAGTCTTTGTCGCTTTGCATGTTTAGAACCGTCCTGTAATATTTATTATGTATGTAGTGGCTGTCGCAATATATTGCGTCGCAGCCTACTTACGTAAATTAAACATGAAACTCGTAATTTAGCTTTTGCGCAACGTATTTATTTTGTGCAAAAACATTACTCAGGTTGCATAATTTTCTACGGATTTCCGAATTACATTTGCGTGTCGAATCCTGATAGAATCAATGCGGTAAGCGGCTTGCTTGCACTTCGATGGTAATTATATCGTATCTAGCTGTTACTTCAAGAATGATGATTCGTTGAAATTCATTTTATTCATACTCAAAGTTTAAAAAGATTATTAAAAGTGTTCAATAAGTTTGTTTCGTTATTTATTTTCGTATAACTGTTCGTCGTGCCTTTGCCAAAAGTTGATATATAAGAAGATACGCAATAAGAAAAAAATATACGCTAAATATGCAAATGTCTTATCAGGGACATGATATTATTTGTAGATTAAAAAATAACAATAAGAAGTATGTGTGTATTTATGTACGCAAGTAAGAAGTTAAACTTCTTTAGCGTAAAGACATTAAATGCAATTTATAATGGTTTATATACTTTAGGTGTATTTCAATAACTTGGAGTTATTATTAAATGTCAAAAGAGTTTCTATTTTGGGATTAGCATGACAACCAAGCATGATGAAGTTGGTTGCGAAGCAAGTTGTCGCTTGTTGTTGTGCATCGTAAAAATACTGTCTCATAATTTTTTCCAAACGCGCCAAAAGAAGTATAACTTCAATAAAGTCTATGGATGCAGGTGGATCAGTACCGTGTTTGGTGGCAGTCTGTGGCCTATGTTCGAAAGTGGATTCGATCAGGCTGACATGATGATGATAATAAGCCGTAATGATTTTTTTAATATATTAAATATAATAAATAATTTTTTTTTGTCCGTGCGATAATATCGACCTTCAACACCTCATCCGAATCTGCCCCAAACTTTCCACTATCAGAATCATGAAATATCTTACAAAACGCTTACATAGACCCTAACACTCTGCTTGGCATAGTTAGGAAAGAAAACACGAAGGAAATTTTTATACTTCATATATGTAATCGTGTATAGACTAAAAAAGGTCAACCAGTTTAAACCTAAATTTGCAATACAGTATGTACCACCATAAACACTACACCCATAATTGTTTATCTTAAACTAGTACTATGTATGTATACAGTACTTTCTTATCTTATACTATGATACAACAAACTGTCTCTATGATTCATATGTATTCATATCTATGGACTTATTTATATCTCTAGATATGATTATTGCACACAAAAAAGTTTAGGTTAAAATATTTTAATGAGATTAATCTACGTACGTTGTACCTAATTACTGACGTTAACGCTACGTGTGTAAACTGTTTTCGGAGGGAACCCCGTTGGGTCTGGAATAATTTCATCCCCTTTCTCACCCGGATCCATAAGAGGGTTACAGCGACATTTACGAACGACCGCGTCAGGGTGCTTTTGATAACGGGCTGCCCTTACCACCAGATGTTGAGTGATTATTGGCACTCTCGAAAAACCATTTTGTTGAATCTCTAAAGTAATCGCGTACGATTGAGAGCCTGCAAACGCTGTGCAAATCAACGTATCTCTGATAAGATTTTGCACCAGTTTGCAATGCTTGTGAATTTATTTTGCTCTACCTAAAGTTTATTCCGGTGTGTTTGTTTTTAATAATAGGTCTCATAGTAAGAGCTTTTGATGTAAGGATATTTTGCACAAAAAATACGTGACATAGTAAATTCGGTTTGAAGCGAACAATTACAGATGCGTTGCACTAAAAACTAATAGCAATAGGAAAGATAAATGTAATAAAAATACTAGATATTTTGCCAAATAACTTTTCATTAATGTTCAACAACGTGACCGTCGACGATTAATATTATACCAAATACTGAACTCTATGGGGGCTTTTTTCAAACGAAAAATAAAAATGACGAAACAACATAGCTATTAAAAATAAAACACCATTCAAGAAATATGTGTAATATGTTTACCTGACAAGGGCCCGCATTACGCATTGAAATTTATGTCTTACAAATACCTTGCTACTTAATGCTATTACTAACTTCATATGTTCTTCGTGTTCATGTAATTGACTGGTTTAAATAAAAAGACATTTATACAAAATTGAGCATGAGCTAGTATAAGATTTTGCAAAAATTGTTCCTAGTCTTTCTAAGGGTTTCATTAAACCAGCGAACAACAATGGAGTATTGCATTAACCTAAGTCTCTAGCGAACTAAACTTTATATTCATTTTTTTCTATGAGTTTTGAATCCTATATAAAATATAAATACAATAACTCATAAAGAAATTTCCTATTTTAGTTAGATGGCAGCACACACGCGTGTAGCACGGAAATGTGCGGTGGCGGCGTAGCTCGCAATATGGCTGAAGCATTGTGGCGATTGCGGGGTGGAGGGGTGCGTCTCCTTACCGCCATCGGCGACGATTCTGATGGAAATTACATTTCTGGAATTGTACCTGGATTATTACTTGACGGTTATTATTTTTGTGTTTATATTCATTTTATAAAGCTGCAAGAAATAATCATGAATTAGATATCTGTATTCATTTAAGACTACGTTTTCATGAATTGCTAAATTAATATTTTCCAATGTCATCGTAGGCGCATCTTATCAAATAAATTAGTGATTGCTTTTATCATCGCAATAGATTTCCCTATATTATGATTTATCCTATCTCTTCTATTAAGCTATGTTGTATTAAGTTGATGGTTAGTGTATTAATATGTAAGGTTTCACAACACAATGAAAAACTGTTTACCTTTCCAATTATAAGCAACCATCAAAAGAATCTGAATATTTTTTTCATATAGAAACCATCTTTTAGTTACTAAATATTCTTTCTTACAGGGTGTATAATTGAGGGAGCGCGAACATCAATTTATTCCGCATTATTTGACACGAAAGGAGAATGCCTTTTAGGTTTGGGTGACATGGATATCCATAACCATATAACTTCTGCATTGGTAAGTCAAGATCTGATAAATCTTTTTTTTTAATGAGCTGGCGGTTCATCTGACATACTCTAACCACCAGACTAATCGCAGAAGTACACTTTCACTTCACGCCGGTCCTCTAGGAGATCGTGGTACTTACCCGGACGGACCTCCCATTTGTGCAACAGTGAAGACTGTTGCGTGGCCCTACCATAGTTAATCTGACTAACATTATAAAATATAATGTTAGTCAGATCAACTATGATATTATCACTACATAAGTGCATAGTATAAAACAAAGTCGCCCCGCTGTCTGTCTGTCCCTATGTATGCTTAGATCTTTAAAACTACGCAACGGATCTTAATGCGGTTTTTTTTACTAGATAGAGTGATTCAAGAGGAAGGTTTATATGTATAATACATTGCACCCGCGTGATGCCGGGGCGGGTCGCTAGTATGATATAAACAAAAACAAAAGCGACACAAAATTTTTCTCTCACTATACACTTTCTAATTGATTTTGAGGAGTTCCCTGATGTATTTCCGGAGTCTAAGGACCAATACCAATGGAATTAACATTTATTCATTTTCTTTTTTTATTTGACTATAAGAAGGGCAACAAGTCAGAGTTATAAATAAAAATAACAATAAATTGCTGTTAGTGAATCTCTTCATAAAAATTAGGCCTTTAGCGAAAAAATAATTAAAATTATTTAAAAATGATGATAGCACTGAGCTAAACCGTTTATCTTCACACCGACGAAAATCTCAACGTGTTTTATGTGCTATGTTTTTATTATAAGTTTATAAGCAATTATCTAATTCTAGTATGTATCCTTTACAGCAGCGGACTACTATTCATATAACTATTTAATTACAATGAAATATTTAAAAACTTGACATGACACCCTTACTAAGAGTGGTGTTTAATGTATTCTCGGTATAGGCATGAAATAATGAGCAGTACTTAATACTATGCAGATTTTCACCACAGAGCTCCAAAAACTCCTCGCAACACTCAACTCGCACTTGTTTCTGTAGTGCCGTGAGCATTCGCAGCACCCAAATTGCACTGACCATTGATTGCGGCTATAGTAGTCCTTTCTGCTAATGTTTTTACACTTGCACGGACATCTTTTTTTATGGAAAAAAGGGGCAAAGGGGCAGGAGGCTCACGGATGGATAGTGATAACCGTCGCCCATGCAACACCGGAGGGCTTGCAAGTGCGTTGCCGGCCAGGTTCCCAGTCGTAACGGTTCGGAAAGTCCGCCTGCCGCAGGTGATTCCACAGAATGGATGTGTGAGGCAGGAAATGCCTTGAAAATCACGCTGCTGTGGAACGTTGTACACCGAGGTGGTGTGGATGGAATTTTTTGAAATTCGACTGCAATGATCAATCCAAATAATTCCTCAAAACACTCCCCGTGATAAATGCAGTAGAAGATGCAGAGTGATCCAACATGTCTACGCAGAGCCAAAGGATCAAGCCGAAGGCTTTGATCTTCGATAACCCAAGCCGCCCTACCTTGAATGCGGTCAAATGGTAGAAGCCTGTATAGAAGAATGTAATACGGTGCTCCCGTCCAGGGATGACAACAGTACTCCATGTTGCGCGAATTTGCGCCTTAGGGTGTAGGCATTAAGCCAACGTGAAGTACTGTCTCACCGCTGAGCTTGCTGAGCACACCAAGGCGTTCTTTGAGGCCAATTTGGCTCTACCTGCCAATTGACCGGGGACCTGGACGTTTCTAGAAATGTCGACGCCAAGAATTCCGATACTAACTGTGGCAGACAGGGGTGTTCTTGAAATTCAGTAGTGCATTAACCGGCCCACCGGCAAGGGGGTCGCATTCAAAACACTTTCTACACCGTTTGAATTCACAAGACCACGGTAAAATTTTCCAATTTTTCTTTATTGAAAAAAAATTTTTTGCTAGCCCGAAAATCACACGGCGCTAATGGAAAAAAATACTAAAGCACCTTCTAAATAGTATATACGAAGGTAATTAGCCACCATTTCTCCGCGAAATAATTTCTATAATAGTTCTTAGCAAATAGTTCTTTTGTAAGGTATTTTATCACAGCGCGATGCTAGATTTTTTTCAACATCGGTAATCGAAGCTGACTTTTCGTAATATCTTGAATGCTAATGTTGACAATTAAATGAAACTTTATATTAATACCTTCAAAGAGTGTTTTTAAATAGTGAATTTAGAAATTTTTATTTTAATAGTGCTCATCTCTGCACTTAAGTTTGAACATTAAAATATGTAGAAAAAGTACGAAAAGATTGTCGCCGCTGTGGGAATCGAACCCACGTCTTCGACATTCGCGGCCTGACGCTCTAGCCACTAAAATCTTAACGTCATTAGCTTAGCTTTTTCGTAGTTTTTCTACATATTTTAGTGAATTTAGATAATTTACCTACTCCATCATTAGTATATCAGCCTGATATCGAGAATACACTAAACGCCCCTCGTATTAAATTTATTAAAGTATATCAATTTTTAGTGTTCTCTACACTCAAGATAAATTTTAGAAATTTATTGGCTTTTTAAACAGTGTACATACTTATATTTGTGAATTAGAAATAAATATATAATATCTATACATGTAAGTAAATTTCTCTGTACACCACTTACAAGAGTCAGCGGAAATAAAACGGGAAAAAACACCTTTCAGCCTCTTTATGTAAGCAAGCCCGGGCTTCTACATTTTTAAACAAATCCAGTTTAGTTTCAAATCGTCATCAGAAAAATCGGCAGTCATTACGGAAGATCGTTCTACCTGTCGCTCGATATAATTTTCATATCAATTATATATTACTTCATATTCCAGAGTAGATGTAGATTTAGAATCATGATATTCAGGACGATTTTTTTAATGTGATAAAGTGGCAAAAGAGCTGGCGGTTCACCTGATATTACAAATGTGTCGCCACCTGTTAATAAAGTGGGCCCCGGCCAGGCTACCTCACTCAACAAACGAAACGCAGAAGCGTAACACTTCCACTTTACGCCGGTCTTCTGTGAGGTCGTGGTAGGTACTTACCCGGACGGGCCTGCCCATTCGTGCAACACCAACAGTGAACACTGTTTGCATGGCCCTACCACAGTATTTCCTGTTACGATCGTTATGGTGGGTTGGACAATGAGTTACACAAGTTTTATTATTCCTAACGCATGTATAATTAGAATAAGATTGTGTAACTGCCTCTGGAGTCTGGACCCCCCCTTCTTAGATTAAACGCTACTTTTACTTTAAATATTTTCTTTTTCTCGTTATTATGCAATGTTTGTTGTAATCTGAAGCGACAGCGCACCCCTGCTCACACCAAGTTGTTATTCCGCCTGGTAATTATTTTACTCACTGAAATTTACTATTACTTTTATTTGTTTGATAATGACATTGAATTAATATTTTTCAAAACAGTAACAAGTCAATTAATAAATGCAATGAGTATGGCATAGAGACTAGACATGCAGAATCCAAGCCTGTTGTAGCAAAATCTTTATTGAAGTTTGTAACATTTCTGTGTTTGCAATAGACTTTAGAAATTAGCTGATTTTACATGATAGTTGAATACCTATAAAATGGCAAAGCAGATTGCTCTAAGTATCAATCGTTCCCTCGCCTTTTACGTGATGGTTTTTTGTAGATCTCCTTTTAGGAGACCACATTCAAAATAAAATAAATGGCATATTAAAACACCATGGCACGTAAACACATAGGGCACCAGATGAAACGCAGAAGTATGACACTTCCATTTCACTCCGATCTTCTGTGAGGTCGTGGTACCCGGACGGACCTGCCCAGTCACTTGTAGTAGGGCCACACCACAGCTTCGGCTGTTACGTGGCCCTACTACAGTTAATTCTTGAAATTATGACCATAGTTTTACTTAACCTAATTCGATTAGACTGAAGACTTTAAAAAATCATTTGAGGGCTAGTTGATCAACTTTGAATTTACTCGATGATGCCATAGAACACACAAACGCTACTTTTGGTCAAGACCGAATAAGCGAAACTAGTTAAACAACTGCAGCGAAACTGTCCGAGCCTAAACTTTGAAACTTGACGATCGATGATTTCCTATTTCCTTCATGCGAGTACACGTGGCAAATCAGTACTTAAACTAGAATTTTAATGTGATCAGGTACTTGATTTTATTTAATTCAGCCTGGTCAAATAAAATTTCAATACAGACGCCCAGATGCTGAGTAGCGATGATATTTTATACTACTGATAATTGTTAACTAATTAATCGCCCGGAGAGAAGCTATGAAAACGTCCCAATTGGAACGTCTTCGGGGCAAACAAAGAAACAGGCAGCGAATAAAACGGGAACTAGAAAGACGGATGCACCTCGAGATGTTTTTTATACTTCATCATTTCAGCCTGTTTGAGTCCACTGCTGAACATAGGCCTCCCCCATAGACTGCCATGAAGTACGATCCTGAGCCACCTGCATCCATCGACTTCCCGCACATTTGCACAGGTCGTCACTCCATCTAGTGGGGGGTCGTCCTACACTGCGATGGCCAATACGAGGCTGCCACTCGAGAACCTTTCTTCCCCTTTTTTATACTTAGGCTTGCTAAATCACAAACATTTGTCGTCCTCTTTTTTCTTATTACTTTAATTATTATCCTTTTTATACCTTTTGAACGAAACGTGTGAATATGTGCTGCCACACTGTTTGGAAATAGGAACACCTTCGACCGGTGATTTTGTATGCGTACAACATCACATGCGTACAATATCTATAGGATAAAATATCATTGCTAAAGAACTTAATTTTAATTTTTCAGATAGACAAACATATGGAAACAATAAGGAAAGCGCCGCTCATTATAATTGACGGTAATATACCACAAAGTACAATGAACTACGTTTTACAACTATGCCATACCTTTCAGAAACCAGGTAAGCTACAAATCAAAATGTTGCAATACATCTACTAAGCCCTCTTTATCATATACCTTTGTTGCTTTTGTTGATCCTAATAAGATTAAACTAAAAAGCAGACCTTTTTTGCCACAAATATCTGTTTTCCCTGATAGTATTTCTTTAAAAATTTACAAATATTATGGAAAGTAAAATCCCATTTTAGGAAAAATAGTTTCATTTAATCAGTAAAATTTTTGTTCTTAAATATGGTCAACAAAAAAACTTAAGGGTACAGTTTTAAATGGACGGATTGGACTAAATTTTTAAGTCTTAAAACTTATTAATACATATTTCAAAATGCATCTCAAATCAATTATTTTATCATAAGTGTTTATCATAATTTGTTGTAACATTATTTTTTCATTATTTTATTAAAATATTATTTACCTGGCTATATAATTAGAAAAGTCTTGTATTTAATCAATTAAATGCAGTAAATTCACATAAGGATGCAAAACAATACAAAGTAATGAATTTCTAAAAATTATTATTGCTATAAAAAGCACAGATCCATTAAAACAGCTTTGCAAAAAAATGTGTACATCTAATACATGAAAGTTTTGATAATTGAAATATTCCATTTCATAAGTGATCAACATATTCTAATCTTAAATACTGGTCACATAGTAAAAATTAAAAGTATTTTATGTTATAATGCAAAGTTTTAAATTGTCAGTGAGTGAAATAATTCAAGACCTTATTTCCTTCACATTAAATAAGTGAAAACCATTAACGTCTATAATAAGTCAGATGCTGTTGTTGTTGTTGCAACTGGTCACGCAACTGATGCAATGCATGTTCTGGTTGACTGTGTTGCATTTGCGCCACTAAATTTTTAGCTTCTAAACGAAGCTCATACAGTTTTCTGGCTTCCAAGAACAAAAGAACAGCTGCAAGACCTAAATATTGAAATCAAAAGTTAAATGTGTAAAACATTAAGTAATTCCTCAAATTGGTAGTTGGCATCCACTCAGACTGGTTGCAGTGCTCATAGGGACTTACTTTACAAACCCTTCCACATAGACCACCATATCTATATAATATAGATATGGTGAACGATCCACCTCACTCCTCAGAATTATTTGTATTTGATCCTGTCTAAACATACCTGAATAAAATAGGTAGACCAATGCAACCAATCCTTTAAGGTAAAAATAATTTTGTGGATAATGAATGTTCCAATTTGCAACATGTTTATTGTATATACTAACTATTTTCTATTGATAGGGACCATCATATAAATTAACAGCCTTACTATTGGTCAATACTTTATGGCACTGAGTATTTAAAACTATTATATTAATTAATAACTAGAATATTAACATAATAAACATTATAATAAAAATATAAAATTTTCTTACCAAATAATATAAAAGCAATAACAGCAAATGCATATGACCACGAGAGTACATTGAAGGATGGATAAAGCAACCAGTCACGGCGATAACAATTTCCACCAAAAATTGCAACGGCCAAAAACAGGAAAGCACCTTTAAATTAAGTAAACTTATAAGTCTTAAGAAGAATCACAGGCATTCTCATGAAAACATAACTGATTTATACTTTGCTTAATAAAATATATGCATATATTTTTAAAAACAAATGTACTTGATGTGAACATGAATGCAAAAAACTTACTTGATATTGCCACCATTGCAAAAGAAGAAGATACAAATATCCATTCATATCGAAGTACTGTTCTTAAAGGCCAACGGACAATAACACACGCCAATAAAACTTGGGAAGTAAAGGACAATATTAAAGCTAAAGTGACAAATGATTGTACAGCCATTAGCCACCCTGGTAAAAGCCACTCTCTTATAACATAATATTCCTGAAAGTTACAAAATTAAATATAAACAAATTGCTTTCAACTCCTACAGAACTTAGTTATTTTTAAAAGAACCTGTTCAACATATACATATGTAGACAAGGCCTGTCTTTGCAAATAAACTTGGTGGGCAGATTTTGTGCAGAAAACAGTCCCTATTTTTAACATGGCAACAATGACTCATGATATTGAAAAATCTAAATAAAACATGAAGAAACATTAACTATGCCTTTCTACTCTGAGTTGTGTTATAAAAGCTTAAAAACATTGCTTGCTCCATTATTACAGCCTTGCAAATTTGTGTGTCATGATTGATATCACTTATCTTACTATAGCCTAAACTTACCTCACTGAAAATGTAGTGGCAACCGTGGAATAGCTTATCATATTGAAAAGAGGGAAATCGAAAACGATCAAAGCAATACTCCCATAATCCCATATGCTTGAAAGGAGAAAACATTTCTGAATATGATTCGATCCAATATGGTCCGGCAAAAGATAGCAAAAGAAATAAGCCTGCTATGTAAGTTATACTAGCTCCAATTAAGGTGGCATCTAAAAGTAAAACAAATATATTAAACTAGCGCTCACTTTCTACGTTTCTTCATTACGATTTGATTTTATGTGAAGCTTTTTCATTTATTTTCTTAAATTAATAAACTAATACACTTTAAACAAATAAAGGGCGTTCCCAAATAAACTTACTCGACGCCTTCGGATATTCATTATTAGCGGTCATGGTGAATAAAATTTCCTTTTAAAGTAGAGGTAAACTTTATATTTCAATAATTAATCAAAATTAATAAGGACTAATAAGAATCATCGAAAATAATAACTCGTTTTCAGTATGTAGCTTAAAGTTCGTTTATACTTTATACGTAAACTAGTGTACTTGACTTGACTTGACAATGACAACAAACCGTCAAACAACAGTTTTTATTTTTAAAATTGAGATGACAACATTGCTAACAACAGTCTATCGAATTCAAAGAGGAATAAATTTGTTAATACCTACGTTTTGTTTTTTTTTTTTTTTTCGTTATTGTTGTGTAATACTATTAGCCCGGCGGCGGTTTTAACAGATTCGTCGTAAGAAGTCAACGGATCGAAGAAGACCCACGGGCCTAAGATAGAACAATTTTCATGAAACTAAAAATGCGCCCAAAGCGCCCAAGCGCGAGTCCGACTCGCACTGGAGCAATGTTTTCGGAGAAAAAGAAAAAAAAATAACAAAATAATCGATAAAAGTTAAACTTAGATCGTCTTAATTAAAATATATATGGGTTGGTGCCATATCGGATGCACGGTCCGAATGGGTGCGGATAAGATATCAAGTAACGACCGACGTCGTATTGGTATTTATTCTATTGAAGTGTCTTATCAACGCTTCTTTAAAGGTGAACAGTGATTTCAGAAACGTAATACAATACAGCATTCCGTAAATACGAGGAATCGTCAGAAGTTTACTGAATGACTGTTCGTTGGTACACTGGAGCACTTGTAATGGATGAAATCTATCTACCTGCCGCATGTACTGCAGTTCGATGACTGCAGCTAGATGCTCCTTTGAAGAAGAAGCAATTAGCAGAAATAGTTGGAGAATCACCTAGTACCATTTTGAACATTGTCCATGATCATCTCGTCATGTCAAAGGCGATAGATGGATATCGAGAATGCTCACATCGCGTCAAAAGCAACAGCGCATCGATTTCTCGCAGGAGATTTTGGAACTCTGTAGCGAAAAGTCAGGTGAGTTAATGACCCGAATTGTTATTGGGGTCAAAACTGTGTTCATCACAAGAGTCGAGTCAAAGCATGAGTCAATGCAGTGGGATAAAAAAGACCACGACCACATCTAAGCAGTTCAAAATGTCGCAATCGGCCGGAAAATCATGGTCACAAATTTTGATTCTAAGGGTATTTTGTTAATCGATTACAAAGAAAAAGGCCACAACATCAAAGGAAAATACTAGGCGAGTTTACTTGAAAAACTAAAAAATGCCGTCAAAGAAAAAAGAAGATTAAAATGGACTCGAGATGTTGCGTGCCTTCGCACGACAACGCGCCAGTTCACAAGACACGTTGAGGGGGCCTCGAGAAAATATTTATTTGAGTGACTGAATACCTTTAACAAATAAGGAACTCGTGGATGATGTTAAACAATTATGTTTGGCGAAAAATGTTTTCCTATTTACAATTTATTTTATGTCTAATGAGGATAACATAAGGTTTTCGCGAGCAGCAATACTCAGTAGAGCTCTTACAGTGCTTAACTTTGCAACAGGACTGAATGTTTCGTAATAGTCTATTCCTTCCTTTTGGGAATAGCCTTTAATCACAAGACGTGCTTTGTCAATGGACCCGTCAGCATTCATCTTGATTTTGAAAATCATTTGCATGGAATAGCTTTTCTTCCTTTGGGTAGGTCTACCAATTCCAAAGTTTCATTTTCTTTCAGAGAATTGATTTCGCTTTCCATTGCTTTACGCCATTCAGCAGAGTTTCTGGCACTCGTTACCATTTTGAATGTTGTTGGTTCTATGACATGTTCGTCAGTGTAAGAGACATTGCGCACGAAATTTGTATAACGAACCGCTGGTTTTAGCCTCGACCGGTCTCTTAGTGTCATGCGGCTTTCAGCTTCAATTTCAGCTTCTATCTTCTATACCTATCTTCTAGTTCTGCTTCAGCTTCAGCAGCTTCAGGAATTGATATAGTTCCATTATCATTCTCATCAGTGTCCAGCAGTTCTACATGATCTTCCGTCTCATAGAATATCTCCTCATTTATTTCAGTTTGTTCCAGATGCGTAGATATAACCGAGTCATTACAATGGCTAGACGATGATTCTTCGCTTGTTCAACTCGTTGAATAGGTGACGTGTCAATCGATTGACCATTCTGGCTAGACGATGATAGATGGCTTTCATTGGATTCAATCTTAGGTAATCCGGTATTAAATTGATTTAGAGGCTTGTTCTGATCTTTGTTGCTTAAGGGAACGGGGATGTTGCTGAACTCTGTAATATGACCAGCTAGGGGAATTTCGTCGAACGTAATGTCTCATGAACTGATAACCATCGTCAGAGTCATATTCAATTAATATTCCCTTATAAGCCTTTTTGTCCAATTTCTTTCTTCGCTGTTTTGGAACATGAGGATAGCAAGTGTAGCCTATTATTCTTAGGTGATTACTTCTTGGCTTCTTGTTATGCCATAATTCGTAGGGTGTTTTTCCTTCAATAGTTGTAGTTCCTGTTCTGTTCAGGATATACACCGAGGTTTGAATCATTACCACCCATAAAGCTGGAGGGATATTGGCATGTGCATGCATCAGACTTCGCGCCATTTCCACTACGGTCCTGTTATCCCGTTTAGTAGGGTTTTGTTGTGGTGTATAGGGCATGGTCAGTCGCTGCTTCTGCCTTCTTTCCTGAGAATAGCACGCACTTTGCCATAGTCAAATTCGCCGCCGTTATCCCTTAACAGCTGTTCAATTTACAATGCTTTAATGTATGAGGAACTATCACTTATATTCGGAAACTGCTCCTTCAAGCCAAACAATCAGGGCCGGATTTACGGGAGGGCAACCGAGGCAACAGCCCCAGGGCCTCCACAAACGAGAGGCCCCCACAAACGAGAGGCCCCCACAATAGAGACTTCGGAAAAAAAATCAAATTCAGACTAGTAAACAATAGTAAACAACTTTACCTTTCATATTTTTTTCGCGTTTTACTTTTACCAACAGTACTTTGTACAAACGTGATTAAATTAAATATTAAACAGAAATCAATAGAAAATAATTTGGGGGCAAGAGCTTGCCAATAATTTGTTGCCCCGAAGCCTCCAGACCTCTAAATCTGGCCCTGCAAAAAATGATAACCAACGCCGCAGTTTCTCAGAATTTTAGATTCCATTCACTTCCATCTTCTTCGTGGTTGCCAGAGGCAAACTAGGCATGTGCCTATGGGCGCGGGAATACAAAGGGGCGCGCGGCGTAAATGTAAAATAGAAAAATTATATAATATAGCATAAAATTTATTGCGCCAGCAATTAAGCCACCTACTTACAAAATAAAAACTATGATTTTTACTTAGAACCCCAATCTGCTTCAATTTATAACAAAAAATAAATTTAACGGATGGGATTGACTAAAACTTGCGTCTACAAACAATCTTGTCGATGGTACATGATCTCTCATTGAATTAGGAAAGATACGACACGACAACAATGCACGTCGCGGCGATCGCAACTTGTGAGTATTGGAATTGGACGTATCTTCTAAAATTGCGGCGACGAGGGTGCGGTGCGGGGTCGGGAGCTAAGCGGTCAGGCACGAACAAATGAGTGGAGAGTGACACGACTTTCAACTTTTTTGTCTTAGTTACGCGCGCTTTTGTTTTTGTATTTTGTATAACTGATGTTACCTTTTCAGACATTAGACTAATACTCACTAAACGCAGAACCGGTGGCCTAGCCAGAACCCACGGGGTTGAGGCCCTCCTCAGTGGGTAGGGCCGCCCATGTACTCATGCATGCGTTAGTTGTGACATGTCGCCTACGGGCCATCGGGGCTCGGTGAGGACCGTGACCGCGATGGCCGTTGCCTGTGCTTGGTTAGTCGGTGGCCGGGGGCGGTGAGAACCGCCCTGGGACGCGGGTGTACGGGTTGTGTTGGTTTCGCCGTGCTCGAAGGCGAGGACGAACTATGGTGTTTGTTGATGCACTAGCTCAGTGTGTAGTGTTTTGGCGGGACCCCAACAGTGGGTCCGACGTATTTAAGTCACCTTCCTTGACCGGGTCGATGAGGAAGTTGCGCGGACGCTTATTGACTTTCGCGTTAGTGTCGCGTTGGTTGGTTGCTGAAGAACCTTTTGGTGCGATCTTTAAGACACTGTATGCAGTGAATTTTTAACTATTTGGGTGGTGAAGTATGAGGAAGCGAAGGAGGGGTAACGCTGCTTAGCGACCAAGTCATTCATTACCTAGTGTGTGTGTAGTGATGGGCCGTAGGATACTATCGATAGTATCATGGAAGGCTTTCGATACACAGATGATCCCTATAATATCTTTCATAGACCATGATTGTATTTTACTTTTATATTATAATAGGAATAATAATAAACAAACAAATATAAAGTATGAGAAAGCAATCAACAATTTTAGAAAATCTTCTTCCTGTTTATTATTATTTTTTAATTAAATTTTTTTAATAAAAATACATCTTAAAGTCGAATAAATTAATAAAGGTAAATTACTTATAATTATTTTTTTTATGGTATGGTACAATATAAATTGTGATTTTAAAGAAATGACTCATAAGATTTTTGCAGAAACTACGAATACAACTATTTTTATTAAATTTTTTTATATATTAGGAATTTTAATTTATCCTTTAAATGTTCAAGACTTACTATGTTATATTACTTTTTCAACTAAAATGAAATTTAAAAAACTATCAATAAAATCCTTATTTGTATCGATAAACGACAGCAATTATAACTAGAGTCGAAATTTTGTCACTTTGCACAGACCTCGCGTAGCCTGTTGGTCCGAGCGTCATACACAACGCTAAACTATTGTTGTAGTTCCAAGTTCAAACCACTCATCGAGTGGAGTTGTATTTTTTATATTATTTTTTCTTTTAATTTGTTAACCAACTAATTATTTTGCTGTCTGTAAAGAGATATTTGCCATAGTTTTCTGCATTGGCGAGGGTCCTCATAAGGGTGTGACGGGTAAGTACTTCTTGTAAAGTTAATCGCCACACTATTGTCGGGATTTACTTCTATTCTCCATTTGCGGAACCAATCAAAGGCGGTCGGCGGCGCTTTGGAGCAGTTTTTTTTCATCTGTGTAAAAGAGTGCCGTGTCATCCGCGAAAAATGCGAAATTAATGTTTGGGTCAAAAGACCAGACATAAAAATGTCGCTCGTGTAGAGCGTAAAAAGCAAGGGGGAGAGGTAGGAGCCTTGAGGAACGCCCGCCGTGAAAAGGCGGTTCGTAGAGAGGGTGCCCTCTACTCGCTATCGAAAGGAGGGATTCAACAGGAAGGCCCGGATAGTGTGTACGAGTCTGTCTAGCACGTTGACTGCGAACAACTTGTAAAGCAAGCCGTTGTGCCAAACCTTGTCAAATGGTTTTGTATCTTCGAAGAAAAGAGCTCAAGAAAGTGCTTAAGTGTTTGGGGTGATTAAGGCCTTCAGAATATGTGCCGGTAGGCGGTATAATTGATCCAGCTCGAAAGCCGAATTGTTTAACTAACATAAGGCCGTTTGAAAATACGTACTCTTTGAGTCTATTTAATTGGGCCGCTCGTAGACCTTCCCCAAACAATTGAGGAGGCTGATAGGTCGACTAGACAGCTTATTAGCGGGCTTTTATTTTTTTTACCTTTATTACCAAGCAATTGAGGAAGCTGCTAGGTCGGTAGCTGACTTTCGAATGTCAATGACGGTGGCCTCTTTCCGTCGTCCGGGAAGGAGTAGCTGGAGAGAAGTATGTTGAAAATGGTCGCCAGTATACAGATAAGCGGCAATAAGACACTACTAAGATGCGGCTTAGGGAGAGATTTTAAGACTTTATTACTAATTTTATCTGGCCCCTGGGCGGATGGACTTTTTGGGGGTCACTTAAGTTAAAGTTTCGCCTACTGGTGGTAGCGCAGCCCTAAATTCGATAACGCGATCTACCTCCATTAGGTGGGCTGTATCGATGTGTTCGTAGTGCTGCTCTAGCTTGTCCTCAAGGAATTAGGCTTTTCAGAGTCATCTAGGGCTAGTGAAGCGCTATTAGGTATTACTAATGGCGATAGGGCTCTGCTTTCAAACTACAGGCCAACCGCCAGTAGGCGGTGTACGATGGCTGGATGTCTTTTAGTGGAGCGTCCAACGTGGTTTGGCGTTGTTCCGATACGCGATCTTTGATTTGTAGCTAAAGGCGTTGAAGTGGAGTTCGTTTCGATTCTGGCGCTTTTATTGTTTACGTTCTTGCTGCGGTGTCATGTGTGTATTTAATTAGTCTATTAAGTTTTTGTGTATTATTTAAAGAATCAGTAAATTTAGAAAAAACGTAGTGGTGCAGAATATAATAGGAAAACTAAGGAGAAAAGTATTATAATGTAATAAATGAAACGAAAAACATGGAGACGCTTTTTTTTTCAACATTAGAATGTGATGATTTTGAATTTTCTAAGGCAATTAAATTCTACTGTCCACCCTATGCAATATGAAATTCCTACTAGTTGTAAACAACCACAAAGTTTATCCGAGCCTACGCCGCCTAGTCCATCAGTAGTAGGAGTTGTGAAGCAGTCGCGAAATAATCTGTTTATCGTAGATTGTGACCCCAGTCAATTAGGAAGTCAATAACGAAACACAAGAACATAATTATTGCACTGAACGGTTTAATCAGGATATGGTATTTTTTTCCATTAGCGCCGGGTGTTTTTCGAACTCACAAAAACTTTATTCGACAGAGAAAAATCGCTAAAGAAATAATCAACAAGCAAATTCTCTGGTCGCTTATAGTTTTCGAGAAAAACATATTTAAAACTTGTTATTTACATTAATGAGTTCGACTTCCGAGTAAAGCCAGAAATTATTATACAGCGTGTCGTTACCATCGCGACAATAAATGAACACACGTCTAACGCTACTTGCCAATAATCATAAAAAAATAATAAATAATATTTTTTTTTTTTCAAACTAAAAAAGAAAAAAAGTTATAACATCCTATACAACTCGCGCCACAGCGTCGTATTACAAGCCTCTCCTAACAGTATGTTTTCGCCTTCCGGATCCCACGCCCAAACGCTCTAGCCACTATTCCAAGAGGTCGACATTCATCCTACGCGAAAATATCTCACTCTTATTTACTTTGTTTTTATGGCATTATATAATATACTTCCTTACAGTCCGATTTATATTGGTCAAGGACAGTGGCGCGTAGCAAGTACAACTACAAATACAGTAACCAGTGGCGGGCATCGGACAAGTGGTGCACTACAGAAAGTTCAGTGGCATTTCTATGTTGAAATGTACGAAGCAACGTCAAAAATATGTGAAATTTTGTTGCCTGTGGCCGGCCACTGTACTAATCTGACCGTACACTACGGCAAGTGACGAGTCAAATACCCCGCGTGGGGACGTGTGAGGGGTGAAGCAATACCTGTCGCAAAATCTGAAAATGTCACTCTCAAGTCCCCTTTTTTCTCATACATTTTCACAATGAATATTTGAAAATTAGAAGTCTGGGACTCTGGGATTCCTTTTGCAATTTAATTGCAATTATTAATATTTTATTATCATGCTAACAATTTAAAAAAGATTTACGAATTTGGCAACAGAAATAAAAACATATTACATTTATTATTTAATATAATTTACATGAAAGATACAATTTAAAAAATTCAATTCTTCACACTTGGTTGGGTTTACTTGGGTTTTGAAATGTAAGAACTAGGTATGGTAAAATAACTTAATGAAATTCACGTTATTTTTAGCTTATTTGGTCTACAACAAACATTTTATTCAGACAGCAATTGAGTTTATTTTAGTAAATATAAAAAAAAACTATTGAAACCTTTATGATAATGCTGAATAATTCAAACAGATAGAACGGCAAATATTTATTTGCTGTTCTAATTTTGTATTTATATTCAATTCATATTTTATTCTTATCTTTTTCTAAACCGTTATTAAATGTTGCTGCACCGCCCATACCTTTTCTAGACGAGTTTTAAAGAATAAATGTATAAATAAAAGTACTAGTTTCTTAAAAACATTAATTTATCTAAATTTTTAACTTCTAGACTCTGACCACATTGGATTCTAAACAACTCATATGCAGGTAATGGTGTCAAATAGGAAAATAAAAATAAATTACCATAAACATTTAGGCCACACTAAAGAAATAAAACAACTCAGGATCTACAAATATAAGCATACATCTCGAAGGCTTAACAAATGTTAATTTTGTAATACAGAATAAACAAAAGAAAACCTTAACCACAACATAAATTGTTTTTGTGCACTTAAACTGTAAACTTATCAGTAAGATATACATTATAATAGATTATCAGCTTAAATTGTACATTGGACACATTTGGTGATTAAAGCATTACTGGACGGAATATTCATTGTAAAGTAACCAATTAAAAATATTGATCCCAAAACTGGACGGAAACTATAAATATTTATATTTAAAATTTGTTTCAACAGTTCAGATAAGGCTTGTGAAGTACACTTTCTTTCATTTAACAGATAAAATACTTTACTTTACATTTTCATGCATAAAAAAATAACATTACACTTGATATTTGCAAATCATACTAAAAATTTGATATTCAAACATGTAAAAAAATGAATAATATTTAATGCTGGCAGTTTAAAAATAATTACACCACTCTGTCAGTCAAATGGACAGTTATAGTTGTAAGCTGCCTATGCTTGGCATGCTAGTGACCTCTATATTGCTTACAACACTTGTGTTATGCTTTAGATTCGTGGTCCATTTCAAAACGAGCTTGCGATTCTTTCAGTCTGTTTCGTTTTTTCGATTGAATATTTGCTTCTGTCAAGAACAGTGCAGCAGTTATTATGCATGCTACTGACCCCACTACAGCAAGACCAAATGACCATCCTAAAATTAGACCAAGATTTGTAGTTAGTGCTAATTAAATACTTGCTTATAATTTTTAAATCAATTAAATTATGAATAATTAAAATAAAATCAATTATGTCAATTGCTTTAATTAAATTAAGCAAAGACTTTTTTATTTCAGATAATTGAAACCAATAAAAAATAAGTTGTCTATTTAAATTTTTTATAAAAATCTATATAATTTTAACTTTAAAATGCAGGACAAAAATAGTATAGAGCGAATATTGAAAGCAAATGATATCGAAATATTAATGTCACCAAACATGAAAAAACATGGGACATTAAAATGGCACGAACCTGAACGAATTTACCCCATCTAAAATTGCCCACCATACCTGTTACACCATACAAGTTTTCAGTTCAAAAAAAAAATATTTATTAAAAGCTTTTACATTCTAAAAGTAGCTAAGATTCGCAGTACTTACCAAAGTAATTATTAGGATGCCCTGGCATCCAGCCCTCAGTGTTACCAAAACAGGCAAAAACTATTACAGCTATACAGCCACTGATTCCTAAAAATATATGTTAATATATTAATAAACAGCAATTAAAATATAATAAAACATATTCAACACTACTTACCGGCTATCAGCATGATATATCCAATACACTGTATTATTAATACAAATCTATTTTGATCAGGTCCACAACATAAAAAGAAAATAAGTACTAATATAGCAGAGATCAGAACCCCTAGTAAGCAAATGGTAAAGAAGAACTGTGTCGCTATCATAAACCCTGAAATTAATAATAAGCATTTATGTATAAACCATAAAATGTATATACAGTCATAATTAGTGAAATCTTAATAAATGGCTATTTTAAAATAGTTTTATGATTATTAACTGTTTAGTGTTGTTTGTCTTTGGTTTTCTCTCTGGTTTTGATTATTTAAAATAATCATTAGATATATTTTATTTTTCCAGATTAAGGAACTATTTTTATAATTGAAAATGTTTAATGATAATTAAAATATTTTAAAATAGTTTGACTTAAATCAATTAAAATTACTAAAACACTGCAGTCTTAAAACGTGTACCTGGAAGCAAATAACCAAGGATTCTATCATATCCTGTTGTAAATGGATCATAAACCCATCGGCAACCAACATCAAAAAACGTCTTTGGTACTGGTCTAGCGGGTCAGGTAATGATCTGAAGCAATGACTCCACAGCCCTAGCCTGTAAATTATAGAAGTAGTCTATTAACGTCAGAATAAAAGATTCCTCATATTTATTGTATTTACAAAAAGTCACACCCAAATATTATTACATAAATTAATTGTATATTAACTATTAATTATTCACTAATATTTAAACACTTATTCGGTATACAGGAATATTTTCATATTAAATAATGGTTTTATTAATTTGAACAATGCCTAATAATTAAATTATTAATTATATAATGTTTTAATAGTCTCTTATAATATTACACACACTTTTTTCAGCTTTGTATTGTGTGTGGAAGGAGTTGGGTAATAAGTCGTCCTAACACCCAGTGCAACATAGATCTATCTTGCCTTTGCAAACATTGCCACTTAATATAGGATAACATTACCCTGTGTTATAAGGGTATTTAACATAGATAAATTTCACGTTGATAAACACCTAAATCCGAAACAATTATCTGTGGACCACACAAGTAGTTATGAACTGTGGAATTCCACAACCCCCAGCGCCAAAACCAATATGTTGGCAACTGCACCATGGAGTCATCATTTTTGAGCTGACAATTTTTTTTAATCAATATGGAAATGTGACTAATAAAATAATTTATCGGTAGAACCACGCAACAACTTTCGCTGTTGCAGGAATGGACGGGTCCATCCGGGTAAGTACCACAACCTCACAGACGACCGGCGTAAGAATTACTTCTGAGTTTCATCCATTTTATTATAAGGAGGCAACGCATCTGCAACCCTATGTATATGGGCGGCGGATATCACTTACCATCAGGTGAACCGCCAGCTCGCTTGCCACCTTCTCACATTAAAAAAATAATATATTAATAATTCATAAGTTAAGATTGATACAAAATATATTAAATGAAACTAGTTTACGGGTACATACATTTTACTTTATTAGGCAACAGACTAATAAATAATATGTGTATCTCAAACACACATTTATAGATAAATTAAGTTTAACATTTATTTATCTGAAACTAATGGGAAAGTTGCATTAATTTTTATACAGCATGTCGCTACCACCGCGACAATAAATTAACACACGTCTAACGCTACTTGCCAATAATCATAAAAAATATTAACATTAAAAAATATCCATAATTAAAAAAAAATATTTAAAAACGAAACAAAACTTGTAACACCTATAAAACTGCAATTGACTGATTCATACATTCAGAGACTTTTTCATTTGTTGCCACAGCGTCGCATTACAAGCCTCTCCTTCTAACGGTATGTTTTGTCTCTTTTAAATTCATTCAACCCAATCATATGCTTTGTGACCTTTACAATTCAACTTTACATAACAGTTTTATACGTAAGGGTGTTCTAAAATTCTTTGTTTTGGAAAATTTAATAACTCAGTAAATATTGATGTTTAAAGAATGTAAATGTATAATACAATTTTAAAAAGTTATACTCTATATGTGTGTTCATTTATTGTCACGATTGTAAAGACACACTGTATATCAAGTGAATCATTGAAAATAACAAGTAATAATTATTTTGTATTAAAAGTAAATGTTTGCAACAATTTTATCTTCTGAATTATTTCATTAGTGACAATTTCTCTGTTGATTAAAAATGATTGTAAGCTCGTGTAAATTTGTAAACAATAACCAATGTTGTTATTAATTTTATCTATATATACTATTCTAATACATATTCTTACCTGTCTAACTGATTGCCTCTTATCCTTGAATCGCTGACAATCCAACTAGGCGTACCAAATGCCAATGCCACTGTCACAAGGGCAATTACAAATACAGCAATGCCACAATTACCAGCCAAGCTTCTATTCTTCATTGTCTAAAATAAACATTTGTTAATTTTTAATGTTATGTAAAGATTTTATTAGCTCATTTCATTTATTCAAGAAGTTAAAAAATAATGAACTTTTTAATGTTAAATAGGATGTTTAATAGGATAAAAAATACAAAATATTTTTCTAATAGTTCTAATCTAGTTGAATAAAATATTTTACTACACTTTAGTTATTTACTAAACTATCCTACAATACTAAACTATACTCTAACTGCATTTATGTCATAAAAGATGAAGAGAGATGTTAAAAACAAAAGTTTATATTTCATCTTTATTTATGAACTGATAATTCTGATAAGTTAAATAATTCTAATAAAACAATTTATTACTAACAGGAAAACTAGTAATATGGCCTAAGGTGTTTTAAACAAAGACCAAGGTTATGGGCCTAAGATGAATAGTAAACTCACAGGTTTTGCAATACACACTAAGTGAGCTGTGGTACAATACATTCACCCAGAAATACAATGCCAAAAGGTTCACATGGTTGTTAGTCATGGGAAGCAAGACATAAACAAAAATATGAGTTATACATAATTTATATCACAAAAACTAATAACAAATTTAACAATAAAGTTCAATCACTTTTATTATTTTTTATTGATAACATTTACTATTATATGATTGGTGCATCATAAATATAAATGATGATTATATGAAAATGTATTAATGTATAAATTTAAACAAACAAATTAAAACTACTAGCAACATAGCAGTAAGCAAATCTGCTTCTTTTTGTAATTTAAGCGATATCAAGTCATATTTTGTTAGCGCTTTCTTGTTTGATGATACATTTTTTCTTTTTTGTAAAACAATAAATATAATTATTAGAATAGATGATATTATTTTTTTTTTGTCTTAAATAATAGTTCTATGTTTCTGTTTCTGGTTGAGGGCATTTTCTAATAAATATATTGTAATACACATCACCACAACATCCCTATAAAGCTTGTTAACATTAACCCTTAAAACATAGGGTTAACGTCATAGGAAATATAAATAAAGTAATAATTAAGGCAGGTAAAGATTTTACTTACTTGATCTTTGTTTTTTTAGTTAAAAAATCATAAAAAGATATTTTGCCTTGGGCGTAGTCCTTGTCAAACCGTCTGTTTGTAACAAAATAACAAATCAAATCGAAATGCAATAGACTACTTAAACTATAAACAACTCGACCACCACAGATTGCTATAAATAACTGTTTCACTGCCACAGAGCATATTTTACTTAGGGAGTAAGCTGGAAAACGCGCGACGAGATCGTTACGAAAAAAGTGATCGGCGTTACGAAAAGTGTGACGTTACGCGAATGGTGATCTACTGTAGTAAAACTTCTTTACGTACGCTTAACTTGGGGAATAAGCTGGTGAATGCGTGACGAGAACGATGACAAAAAGTATGATGTTACGCGAATGATGATTTCTTGATTATTTCGTAATTTCATTTCGTTCTTGAACAATTTATATTTAAGAAGTTTATATTTGAATAATTTATATTTAACACCACACGACTAAAGTAATTAGTCATGTGGTGTAAAGCACACTGGTTTTTTTTTTTTCGTGTACCTAAGTGTACTTTGTTATTAGTTAGTGCAGGGGTGAACATTTGAGCAACATTTTTAATCAAAGGGCCACTTTAAATTTTTGGCGGGCCGCACATAATAATTTACGAAACTTTATTTATAATAAATATTTGAATAAAAAGATATAAAATTAAAAAAAAGTAAAGATTTCATATACAAATTTTAATGCAAGGTAAAAACAAACAAGAAAAGAACAGTAAAATGAACAAAAAATATTTCGGTTCAGTATGTACTACAATTTTATTATAATTACTTTTAAAATAATATATTGATGGGAGAAATTCGATAAAATAAATTCAATTTTAGAAATGCTTGGCGGGCCGCATAAACATGTCTAAGGGGCCGCGCGTTGCTCATCCTTGAGTTAGTGCGTCAACTTTGACAGCTTCGGCTTCTACAGAAGAGGTTCACGGCAGACAGCTAACCCGTGGAACAGGGCTGCCAACTAAGGGTTTCGCCGCCCCTAGGGGGTAAACAAATGCGTTGGGTGTTTTGTTTAGGGACGTTATATCTTTAGGGGTTTTTTGACTTCTTATGTTTTTTACTACTTTTTATTTCTTATTATTTTTATTATTAATTAAATGTTTATTTGTTGACCTAGTGGCGAAGCGACAACTTACTAGACTGTAAACCATAGTCAATTCCTCACTACTAAAGATGTGGAGTTGTACTATGAAAAATATAGATAAGGATAACCGTCTCTGAGCATTAAAAAGTGCCGGTCAAAATACATTCAATAGCTCTAGCGTAGAATAAATTTTTAAGAAAGCGCCTAAACATTTTATCATTCAATATCTCTTTTGTAGTATCAAGAATCTCTTTTTGGAATTACGGTAAAAATATTGTTTGTCTAGAGAAATCATAAAAAAAGAGTCATCATCATCATCATCATCATCATATCAGCGTAGGACGTCCGACTGCTGAACATAGGCCTCCCCCATTGACTTCCACTTCGACCGGTCGTTAGCGGCCTCCACCCAACACGAAAAAAGAGTCATTTAAAAAAAATTAAATTCCCTACAAGTTTAGTTTACACTCTATAGGACCAACATTTTCAACTAGTTATTTCTTTCGAGAGAATGGACAATCGAGTAACGAGGGACACGATCGGAAGGATCGAACCATGGCTATCGCAATCGATAGCGCGACCTACCCAGGGCAAGGCACAAGGTCAAAATTGTGGATTAATCACGAGGCAGACCGATAAATCACTACATAGTATAAAACAAAGTCGTCCCGCTGTCTGTCTGTCTATATACATGCTTAGATCTTTAAAAGTACGCAACGGGATTTTGATGCGTTTTTCTTTAATAGATAGAGTAATTCAAGGGGAAGGTTTATGTATAATTCATGCATAATATAGTAGAGAAACACTGATAATTTTAGATGTTTAGATGTTTTTAGATGTTTTTGATGTTTTGCTAAGTGTAAGAGCAAGGTCCCCTCGGACTGGGTTCCCGCCTTGTCGTAGCAGGGGGGCTTAATCCGCTTAATCCGACCGGATTCCCGCTTTGTTGTGGCTGAGGGGCTTAGTAGCTGTGTCTTGGTCACCCATGGCGAAGCTAAGAGGAACTCACATTGGGCCGGCCCGAAGGGGCCGCTCCGGGTGGACCCATTGAGCCTACTCTGGATGCGTGCTGTAGGGTGCAGGGGTCAGGTTGAGGGTGGTAGATGAGGAGCCTCTCTCCCTGTCTTCTTCTACAGAGGATGAATCGCGGAGGAAGAGGAGTTTCGGCAGCCCCGGATCTTCAATTTTTTGGGTGGGGCAAAAATTGAGAAATGCCGCCCATCCCCACTTATATTAATTTTTACCTTTAGATATCATCTATACAAATGCCCAAATTCACACAGGAGGTTTAGACTCGGTAGTATAATCGTTTATTGAAATAAAAACAAACTTTTTTTTTCAAAAAAATTCCCTAAAAAACAGAACTTGTTGATAATGCGGTACTCATTCATAAATGCGTCGTATACTTTTGAAAAGAACTTGTGTGCGTGTTAGTTATGAATGATCGTAAAATAAATGATGAATAAATAAGTTCGAATGAATGTATTTAATTAATTACGACTGATTTTAAACATTTATCATTTTTATATAACATTATTTATGTCTAGAATTTAATTAAAAAAATGGATACACTTAGAAAATCCTCCATGTATAATTTCAGCTATGCGATATCCACTAATTGATTGACATTTGAAGAAAGCCTACATAAGCCTTCCGGAAATTTGCTGTTTTTTTTTTGCACGGAAAAAAGAAAACAGGAACTTTAATAGTTTGAAATAGCAACGTGGCAAACGCGAAAGTGGAAAAATAAAGTTGACAAATTCTGTAAATCTGACAGTTTAAACGTAGTGATTACATTCTCTTTGAGTTTAAACTCTAAATCTTACATTTTAAAAGTGTTAGTTTTACAGAAATATAAAGTATACTATGTGACAATGAAATTTTTCCACTTTCGCGTTCGAAGCCCCAGTTAAGTTACTATTAATTTATTTCAAACTATAAGCGTTCCTGTTTTCTTTTTTCCGTGTGTATTAAGCCTTAAGCATATTAATTATTAACAGATATAAAGACACCGATAACGACACCGGCGCTAGTCCACCAAACAATCACAAGTAACTTTGGTAAATGTAAATAACTTTAACTCCGGCGTAATTCAATTAAAATAAATTTTAAACGATAGAGATAAATCTCTAATGAATTAATCAACAAGCAGAATTCGGCTGTCGCTTATAGTTTTTCGAGAAAAAAAATATTTAAAACTTGTTTTTTGTACTAAGAAATCCACCATTTTATTTGTTTGACTTCAAAAACTCAATACACAGTTCTGCCAACATGATAAATATAGGAAGCGGGCGACATCATACACGTATCGATATACCGATTTTTTTTAATTTAATGAGTCACAGAACCGACACAGAGCGAATCCGACTCGGATAGATTAGGTTAAAAGGTTCAGGCGGGAGCGGAGCTCCCGCCTTAACCTTCGATGTTAGGTTTTTTTTTTTATGACCACCAAGAAATACGAGCTGAATTGACATATTGACAACAAAAAAATGGCGGATTTCTATAGTAAAAATCACACTATTTCATTATTTATTTTTTCGAAAACTATAAGCGACCGCCGAATTATTTGTTGATAAATTCACAAGTGATTTTTCTCTATCGTTTAAAATTTATTTGATTTGAATTACGCCGGAGTTAAAGTTATTTACATTTACCGTAACTTTTTCTGAGTCAATTTTCGTTTAGCTGACTTTCGATTGGGCTGGGTCTCCAGGGTTCAGCCAATGTAACAAGCGCTTCCGATTATCGTAAAGTATCCACTTTTCATCACAAGTAATGATTCGATTTAAGGTCCCTTCATTATTGTGTCGGTTGAGCAAAGTAACACAGCAGTCGACACGTGTTTGCAAGTTCGATTTACTCAATTCATGAGGTACCCACCGTTCAAGTTTTTTTACTTTCCCGATTTGCTTCAAGTGGATTAATACAATTTTATAACTTACCCCGAAGCCTGCAGCTACCTCTGAAGTGCTTTGTGATGGATCCACTTCCACAATAACCTTTAATTCTTCATTTTCCACCGGTGGTCTCCGGCCGACCACGAGGTTAGTTCTGAAGAAATTTCCGAAACGAAAACGTTGAAACCAAAAACGTACCGTGCTTTCTTTTGCGACACCAGCGCCGTACATATCATTAATCCTTCGAGCTGTTTATCATTCGATATTTCATGTTTTCCATTGTGCGGTATTTTTTTTAATAAAAGTTGTCAAACGAGCAGACGGTTCACCTGATGATAAGTGAATACCACCGCCCATGGACATCTGCCACACCCGAGGGTTACAGATGCGTTGAGAACCTTTTGGAAATTGGGCTCCGGCTACCTCACTCACCAGACGAAACGCGAAAGTATTTGTCATACTTTCACTTTACGCTGGTCTTCTGTGAGGTCGTGGTACTTACCCCGACGGGCCTGCCCATTCGTGCAACAACCGAGGCTGCTGCGTGGCCCTACCGCCGTATAAAGAAAGAATGGTATGAAATGAATTTATAAATTTGAATTTGGAAGTCTTAACCAAAGAGGAGATATTTCAGATCAAAATGGTCAGTATGACAAAACGCTAATGTATTATATGTAAGGAACTAATATTAGTAAAAGCATCCTGCAAATCATGCGCTGTTCATCATAGATCTGTTGCAAGAGATAGACAGCGTCTCGCCACGTCTCACTCCACGATCTGGGTCGATCGGTTGAGTTGTTAGGGAAAAGTTGAGTAAATTATGAGTTAATATCCATTCGTCTGTAAAATGTGAATTTGCCGCCCGGGGCATGGGCCCTGGGTTCCCCCCTTCCCCCAGATCCGGGGCTGAGTTTCGGTATTGCATTTGGCCACTCTCCCTATCCACCGCGACTCGGCGGGGCTGCACTGATGCAGTAGCGGGGGGAGAGGAGTGACAGATTTTAAATTTTAACCGCCAGCTCGCTTCCCAACTTCTCACAAAAAAAAACAAAAAAAATCTCCCTGATCCCTGATCTACCTAGCGATGTCACTAATGAATGTAGTACTAAGTTGGGGTTAATACCGATCCCTGCAGAGTACCTCGCTTTAAGTTCGTGGGGGCGGGATAGGGCACTCGATTGTCCGGCTCTAAAACTGAAATGCTCGACGCCATAAAACACAATATGAACTGCTGTATACGCAAAAACATATAATATCTATCTTTAACTTTAACTGTATAAACCTCTTGGGCGCAAATGTATAAGGAACGGCCATATAAAAAAGAAATATATTAACAACTGTTCAATGTTTTTTAATTTTCTATTTGTTTCAGTTTTCTTTGAGCCAACAGATAGAAGAAAAGCCATAAAAGCTTTACTTACAAAACAGTACAAGATCACTTACGCCTCCCCGAATATTTCAGAATTACGAGCAATGGCAGAGATCATCGAACCAAATATTCCTGTAGAAAAGACCTGTGACATAAATGAAATTATTAAATTATCCAGAATTGTAA